CTTTTCGCTCTCAATGGTTAGCAAATCTAAGTGAACTAATTCGATTGCATATTCTGTTATAGCATTGATTACATCTTCCTCTAAATTAGATTCAGAGCTGTACCGTATGGATCTCAAAACGTTTTGTAACTATTGGCCTTCCCTTCATATTACCAACTATACGAAAAATTGGTTGTTTAATGAAGTTATTCAGAGGGTCGTCTGAAATCGGGACCCCTTAAATGGGATTCTCATATTCTGTGTGCACAGTAGCGGTTCTTGCTCCTGTGACGATGATGGTTCTAGAATCATCTAAGTTACTGTTACGTTCAGAAGTGTCAACTTTTTTTTTTTTTCCTACCTATGCTGGTAGCCTGGAGCGGCTATTCCAGCGTAACAGTAACTAGTAGGTGAGCTCACGGGGCTCAAACCTGACGACGATGCAAACACGAACCCTAGCAAGAGTCGTGCTTCGCAGAATCTACCACCGGATCGGAATCGCGACCCACTGAGAAGATCCGGCGAGAAACTCAGTGGGCTGTGTCTGAGAGTTAATTTACTCGTCGAGCCCTTCGTCGCAAGCGACGGGTTCGACGAGAACGGTGACCGGTGCTTGAAGTACCTAGAAGCACCGTTAGTGGATCGGAAGGATTCGAGATGACGTGTACCGAAGTGTCAACGATGATTGACATAAGCTCTTCATTGTTAAGCTCTATTCGCGAAAGGGCGTCATTTTTGTTCTGTTTTTAAATTACTGTGAAATCATATTCGCTGAACTTTAACCGCCGTCCGCCATTAGAAAAAAGCCGCTCTGTTGGAACTAGAGCATCGAAACTCGGTAAAATTTTGAAAACCCGGGTTTTCGAGTCTAAGAGTAATCAAAACCCGGGTAGACCGGTTTTTTCGAGCATTTTGATATTTTCATTGTAATTTTTTAAAGTACACTAATCTGCGTTTTTATATCGATTTCCTACAATGAGTACAAAATATAAAGAATGAGGAAGAATTTAAATAAATGAAACAGTACTTTACAAATTACAAATACAGGTTTTAATATTTGAAAAAGTAATAAAGATTTATTTTTACTTCAGAATATCTTAAAACTTAGTAAGTAATCTAGTCTTTTTTTAAATCACAGACTTGCAGAGATTGATTTTAACATTAAATGAATTATTTTGGTAGCGTTCACTTATGCTATTTAAAAGCTAATAAAAATAATATCTTCAAAAGACATTTTTGTAGTATCACAAATAATTTTAAAATTAATAAAACTCTTCTTCGCATTAACAATTAAGTAACGAATAGTTCTACTCTTCTATGCTACTATTCTAATATAATTTCAATTTCAGTCGTTTGGTTAATAATCAGTTCTTTATCTAATTAACTAAAATACCAAGTAAAAACTAGTTATAAATTTGACACATTACTTAAACAACATAGTTAAGACATATAAAATAAAAACTAATACCATTTTGTATATATCGTAACGTAACATAAAAAAAAAAGAGAAATCAGAACTGAATTATTAGAATTTCTTCTTACTCATGTAAAATGAACGTACAAAATAGTGCACCCAAAGTTTTGTCACTCAAAGACGAACGCAATCTATTGCAGACAATTCCAGCCGAAGAAAATATACGCTTCTGGCTCGACGCTAGTAGGTGGATTAGTTTTTAAATGTTCATATACCAGCGATAGGCAACGCCCTCGCTGTCGCGCACCGCCATTGTCAATAGCAAGCTTAACTTAACTATCTGTTCAATTCCTCTCCATTTATTAAAGTAGACAACTGAATGTCAATTTCTTGCAGATCTTCGTCTGACGCTGGCAAATTTTCAAGAGGTATATTTTGTTTTTTTGTTGTGCGTTTAATCAAATTAACAATTTCGTTTAGCATTTCATCACATGTAGGCCGATAAAAAACAGTTTATGTTCATTTTGAATGTTTTCAAAATATTTACCAGAATTAGTCAAGTACTGTAAGTGTTGCTGCTTGAGTTAGTCTTCTTTTTGCGTATCGTTTGCTCAATGCAGTTGCCATTTTGTTACTTACGGCCAGTCTCAATAACGTATCCTCGATCTTTTTTCAGTGATCACGGATTGAAATTTCAATCCAAAAATTACAAAACTGTTTCAATAACCAAACTACAGATTTGGCAATAGCGATGGGTAACTATGTCCAGCAGTGGGCAGATAAAGGCTGATGATGATGATGATGATGATGATCGATAACTCGTCTATTTTAAATGAGGATGAGGGAGCACCTCATTTCACCTCGTGAGGTACTCATGAGGTACCCCTCATTTGAGGTGAGTTAGCGCTTGCTCGATACGTCATCATTACGTCCCGGCCCGGCGCGACGGCGCGGGCGATGAGTTGGTTGAGTTGAGGCCGAACGAGTGAGGGAGTCGAGCAAGTGTTGCGCGCGCATTATACTCGAGTCGCGCTTCGTGTTACCGAATGCCGTCGCCGAGCGTGGCTTCGTTCGGGTTCTGCCGAAATGCAATTATTGTTCTCCCTCACACGTATAGTTTTCTTTCGCTCAGAATTTAAAATGAAAGAAATTAATGACACACTATTACCATTTTTAAGTGTGAGTAAATAAAGCTTATTATCCAAGGGATTATCAATCCCACGGAAATAAAAATATTTTATTTTAAAATTCTTTTCTTTTTTAGTTTATAGTTTACCTCTGACCTTCGAAGTGCATTGTTGTATCAATCTTTAACTTGTTACGTTGTTACTTGTTACTTGTTAATTACGTAAAGTGCGAAAAATACTTACAGTATTCTGATTGTTTTGTTTATGTTGGTGGTGGACTATTATTGCTAGCAGGTAGCAGTGTGGTTAACGGTGGTGGTGGTGATTTACTATACAGCTATTTGTACCTATTTGATTTTTGCTTGACTGAAAGTTTTTGGCGGTATTATGGCTCCAACAGCAAAAAAATCTAAAACCTGGGAGTTTTTTACGGAATTAGGAGAACACAAGGCTAAATGTACAATTTGCTCGAAAATTTTGTCACATAAAGGCGCAGGCCCTTATAATTTAACACGACATTTAAAATCATTCCATCCCCTTGTACTAACTGGGATTCTTTTTTTTTTTTTTTTTTTNGAGGGCGGAAGTCCGGCGATTTCCTCCTGACCAAAAAAAAAAAAAAACAAATGCTGATATTAACGCCACTGATAGTGTTGCTATACCTCTTGCACCTGCATTTCAAATTGTGTCTACGTCTCAAGGTGAGTCGTCTACAGCCTGCTCGAATGAATCTACACAATTAGTACCAGCAGCTGCCGTTCCGATTCGTCGTCCTCAAGTTCATGCCAATAAAATTAATGAATATTTTTCAAAACCGTTATTAAAAAAAACTGAAATAGTGAATAAGATGCTCCTTGAAATGATTGTTAAAAATTATTTGCCTTTTACAATCGTTGAAAGTGATTCACTCAGAACATTTATACAAGAGTTGTCTCCTTCATATATGCCTCCATCACGAAAGACATTATCAAATGCCATATTATCAAAATATTATAACATTGTTAGAGAAAACGTGTCAAAAGTACTAAGAGAAGCGGAATACATAGCCCTAACTAGGAATGCCTGGACTTCTTCATCTCACCAGCAATATGTTTCCGTCACAGCTCATTTTATTATAAATACTAACATTAATTGAGTTATGCTTGAATGCATCCCCGATGCACAGCGTCATACCGCACAAAATCTAGCTGAATTAATAAAAAAAGTATGCACAGACTGGGGTGTCGATGAAAAAATAGTGTCAGTTACTACCGACAATGCCAATAACATTCAAGTTGCCATTGCGTTACTCAAATGGAAGCAAGTGCCGTGTTTTGCACACACGTTGAACTTAATTGTCCAAGGGGGGTTAATAGAGATAAAAGACACTCAAATGAAGGTTAAGGCAATTGTAGAAATTTTTCGAAGAAGTGTTCTGGCAAGTGAGCGACTTACAGCCACACAGAGGCAGCTGGGAGAAAAACCACTAAAAGTGAAACAAGATGTCATCACTAGGTGGAACTCAATATATGACATGTTTGAGAGGATTTTAGAAATCAAAAAAAGTATTATCTCCACTATTGCCATTGATTATCCCAGCACGCCTAATTTGGCCCCCGGTGACTTGCAGATTTTGATTAAAAGCTGCGAACTGTTTTTGCATTTTAAATCAGTCACAGAAATCATGAGTGGAGAAAAGCACGTGACGGTTTCTCAGATAATAGTCTTAGCAAATTTATTAAAAAAAAAATGTGAGGTTTTTATCCTGCAAGAGTCGGACAATATTCCTCAAAGCGTAAGGAATATGGCAATGCGGTTTCTGACAGATTTAACCACGCGATTTAGGAACGTGGAGGACAATAAATTACTTGCTGTATCTACTCTACTCGATCCTAGATTTAAGACGTACGGGTTCCCCGACGATAAAAAATCTAGTGTTGACAACGCAAAAAAATATCTTTCAAATATAGCAGCTAAAACGACCACTACCACAAATTTAGAACTTACAGAAAATATCATACAAAACGTAACTCCAGAAACTCCAGAAAAACCTAGCATTTGGGACGATTTCGATTTAAAAGTTGTAGATGCAGTAAAAAAACAGAACCCGACCGCAGCCGCAATAGTTGAAGTCTACAAGTATTTTGATGAGCCTCTTGTCAGCAGAAGAACCACTGATCCCATATTAAGGTGGTACATGAAACGGCGTACGTATCCGCGACTATACGATGTCTTGAAGAAACATTGTTGTATCCCCGCTACGTCAACTCCTTCGGAAAGAATTTTTTCAAAAGCAGGGCATGTTGTCGCTGATAGACGTAACCGTTTGGACGGTCAAAAGGTCCGCATGATTTTATTTTTAAATGCAAACGTGATTTTTTCCTTCGTCTTAATTTTTTTTATTAATTTATATATATACACTTTTTCTCAATATAAGCACTCAATATTTTTTAAACGGTTTTATTTAGCTCGACCTGTACGGAATTTGTTTATGCTTTGTTTTATTTAAGATCTCTGTGACTTTTATTTTAGCACCCCTAATATTCCTTCTATAACTATATAATTAAATTCAAACAAACAACACATACAAACAGTTAAAAAAATTAAACAAAAATAAACATGTTTGTAATTTCGTTTGATCTGAGACTTCTCACCTCAGTTCAGCTCAACTTGGCTCAACTCCCTCGTTTCCATTCATCTGATTCACGTTCACAGATAATAACCTCGCCGAAAATTTTTCTCACTCACTCACTAGCGTGAAGAGGTTCGTGAGGCGGTTCAATATTGAAATTCGAGTAACTCTTTCAATTTACTGTCACGAGTACCTCAAATGAGGCAACTCATGAGTGAGGTACCCAACTCTATTTGGCAATCCGAAAATGCAATCTATCTGCTAGAGGGCGTCAATCCATTTCTGCCACTTTTTGGATCGCCCTCTGTTGGAAAAAGTCTGTGGTTGGGTTTCAATACTCGATCTTTCCTTTTTGACAAATCTATTTATGGCTATTTGCAATCTATTTTTACGATCCTAAAATTTTGGTCGATTTCAAGCAATCTTTCGGATTATTTACTGTTTACAAAATATTTATTTGGCTTATTAATTACTGAAAGAATTAAAATATAACATAATGGCCGGAACTTTAATGTATATTGATAGTGACAGTGATCTTGAAGTGCTGGAGCAGCTTTCAGATTGGGATAGTGAGGTTACTGATGATACTGATGGAGACGAAGGCCATCAGGATCACGAAGAAGCTATTGCCGTATAACTACTGATGCTGAATTTACATTTAGATTTCGTCTTAACAAGGTGCGGTAGAGTTACTTTTATCGGAAATAATGCCACATGTAAAAGTAACCTGCAATCGGTATGTACCTCTATCACAATAAAAAACAATATTTTTACCTACTTAGTTATAGGATCACTTATTATTAACACGCCCCAATTATTTACAGAAATCATGGAGTTGCACCACTTCACCAGTTACTCCTAACCCTCCGATTTTATGCATTGGGTACAATGCTAATTTCTGTAGCGGATTTCGTGGGAGTGTCAAAATCGACCGCCAGCGTTCACGATATATCTGGAGCTATAGCCATACTGTACAATAAATACATTGTAATGCACCCTAATCATGTAGACAAGTTTTTTCAATATGGTCAGTTCCCACGTGTCCTGGGTGCAATTGACTGCACTCACATACGGATACAATCTCCAAGTAAGTAAAAGCTTAATAATGAAGTCATTAATAATTTGGTAAAAGATAAACTTGTCTACATTAAACAATATTATTGTTCCAGATCACACGATAGGCGAAGAGCTCAGAAACCGAAAAGGCTACTTTTCATTAAATATTCAAGCCGTTTGTGATGCTGATTTGAAGTTTATGAATGTTGTAGCCCGGTGGCCTGGTTCTGCACATGATGCTACTATATTTAATAATTCTATTTTAAGAGGTTTTATAGACATTAAGTTGTATAATTACTTTGTGATTGTGTATGAATATAGTAAATGCAGTTAGTGCAATAAAATAATCTATTTACAGCTCAGTGTGAAGCTGGGACTTTTGGGAATCGCTGGTTGCTGGCTGACAGTGCCTATCCAAACAGATGCTATATGTCGACACCAATTTTAAATCCTAGTACTAGAAATGAGTAAAAATGTAATGATGCACATATTGCAACTAGAAACCTTATTGAAAGGTGTGTTACATAACCAGAAGAATTGAAAATGTACAGTATGATAATATTCACTATGGATGTACCTATCACAGTAGACATTATGGGTATAGCTAGTGATTTTTACTTCTATAAGTATAATACACTAAACAATAATTATCTTTTACAGAAACCTTCGGTGTATCGAAGCGACGTTTTCTAGTGATCTCATTATCTATGCGCTTATCACTAGAAAACATTCAGAAACTTATAATAGCTACAGCAGTTCTACACAACATCTGTAGAATTCATAATTTGCAAGAAACCCCAGCAGAGGTACAAATACCATTCCAAGCAATGGATGATGATAATCTTCAAACTATGGAAGTACAAGATAGCAAGAATAGAACAGAACTAATAGAAGCCTACTTTTGAACTCTGTAGAGTGCAAAAGAAACTTATAAAGTTGAGATGTAGCTCCTTCCCGTCTTAACTTGGAAGTATTAAGATACTAAAACCTTTTTGTATGTAATTGTTATTTCGTTTTATTATAAATGAACATATTTATCTATTATTTATATTTAGCACAAACATTGGAACAAACTTATCATTTTAACTGCTAACTTAATTAGGTATTTATTTATAACACAAAAAAATATAGATAATATAAGACCTGCATAAAAATACAAACAAAAATATCAACTTATAATATAATATAAAGTTAATTTATATTTTTAAGTTTTTAAATTTTTTATTTTAATTTTTTATTTTCTAACGCTATATTTTCAAATTTTGCTTCTAAAAGTTTAGTTTTTACATTATAATAATTTACCAATGCCTGGTTTCTGGATGCCAGGTGCTCATCAAATTTTGATTTTCTTTTGAAACCAGTAAGAATTAAAGAAAAAATATTAGTAATTATCGCGGAGACTTAACCTTCAGAATAAAGTCTCCACGTGCATTTCTTCCCGTCTTAACTTTGAAGTATTAAGACAACAATAAAGTTTCCGCATGCATTTTCTGTCTATCAGTCCACAATAAACTCTAAAATCTTTCTACTATCTATAATTGAAATAAACTAGGCCACAAGCTTCTGGAAATTTATTCAATTTTATGAAAATTAGAAAATTTACAACTTGTAGTTGTAAAGAAAGATAAATTCTAATTTTAAGTAATAACTTTTGTACTTGATAAACTACCCCACTTTGGCAACAACAATATTATGCAAAGGGAAAATATAAATAACTTAATAAAATAATTTATCGCTGGCTTTGGGAATGTGTAAAATTTTGGGCTTAGGTGGTGTGACTGAGCAAGGCCCTGTGTCTTCGACCACACACTCTTTCAACACCTCAACACCACTATCACACTCCAACACCTCAGCACCATTATCAATTAAATTATCTAAAACTGCAACACCCTCCAAACCATGTTCATCACCACCACCATTAATACTGCCGACACATGGTATTAGTTCCGCATCACCACCATACGCTACTGTGAACCCATCTACTGTACTTCCTAACAATGCAGCCACCCTGTCCAACACATCATCAGGGGGGATGTAGGATGAACGACCGCCACAAGTCTAAAAAGAGAAAGTATTGTACATAACTGTTGTTTGTTTATGAAACAATTATAATGATTCTTTTTTTATTGGAAAGAAGATTTGTCAAAGGTGGTCCAGTGAAAAGGAAATAAGGGTTTGATGATGGCAAACCAGAGAATCATGTTAAGCTTGTCAAATGTTAAGTTCACTGTGTATCCCTTGTAGTTAAAATAAATAAATATAATAACCTTTATGTTATTCATACGTATTTGTGTACTGCGTTTACGGGAATTCTTTTTAAGATCTTCCCATTTTAAACGCAACTGCTGTGGTGTCCGATAGGATGTGGTAGCCAACCACAGCATTGAACTGGTCGCTTATGCGTTTCCACTCCTCATTTTTCAATTTGTTAGTGTTGTCGCATTTGTTGTTTTATCATAAATAATTTTACTACTTTCAATAAACGAAAACTGTATTTTTGTCTCGTCCTTTGTGAGAAGCTTGCTTGATGCCTGGAAATAATAGGAAATTACTTACTACCTATGTGAAGTGCTTACACAAATTAGGCGCGAAACGAAGCGTCTTCAAAGCGGGAGTTTGTTGAATAAAAATATAGAAAGTAAGAACACGCTAAAATAATAGTATACATACCATTGCACTTACACTTTCCATGGTGAGTATNGTATTTTTGTCTCGTCCTTTGTGAGAAGCTTGCTTGATGCCTGGAAATAATAGGAAATTACTTACTACCTATGTGAAGTGCTTACACAAATTAGGCGCGAAACGAAGCGTCTTCAAAGCGGGAGTTTGTTGAATAAAAATATAGAAAGTAAGAACACGCTAAAATAATAGTATACATACCATTGCACTTACACTTTCCATGGTGAGTATTTCACTTCACTTCACTAACTTAATAATTCAATATTTTGATAATTAGTTACTTGTTTAGCAACAAACCACGTACAAAAGCTCCTTCAATTTCAAACTGACTGAATCTGATGTCAAATGACACTGAGAGACGATTCGTTTCTCAGATTATGATTACGCTCCGCTACCAAAACTTCAGTATCGGGAGTATGGGTTAGTGACGATTTGCTTAGAAAATGTTGGAGCACGTGTTTTATTCATAAAATACGTAATACGTAATAAAAAATTCACTAGTACGTCAAAACCCAAATGTATGGATATTTTCTTACATAGTCATAATCATAATGATATCTGCTTGAAATGGAATGCACGGGAGGGAACTTCACAAAATAGATCGATCGGCGATCCATTTTGAAAATCGATCGATTGTTGCTATCCGTAGTTATTGAGATTCACGGCCTCGAGGGTGTGCCGACGGGTGACTGAGGTTTGATTAAGTTTCTCTAGCAACCACTCCCTCCATTTAGCGTACGCCAAATGACGCGCAGTACGCCTCCACCGACCGACAGCCGACAGGCCGGGTGTCCGTCACCGACTTAGAGACTGTGTCCTGCGCCGATAGTTCTTTCGATACCTAAACGTTTCATTTGATATAATTGTTGTAATAAAATCAACTTCCTTTAAAAACACATCTGGTTGTGTTATTGCTGCGGCGCCCGTTATGCCACTTTTACATAAACTCATTAGATTTGTATGTAAAGGTTTGGTGATTTGGTAGGCTTGTTGCAACTCAATTTTACTTGGAAGTATAGGTGTGCCTTTTGTTCGTTTACGTTCTCGTAATTGGGGAAATTTTACGTGATGAATGCATTCCAAAAAAAACTTGTGATATATGGCAAGATATAGCTGCAGGATTTCTTCAGAGAACTAATTTTCCTAATAGTGTTGGTGCCTTTAATGGCAAGCAAATAAAAATTACTGAAATTTACTATTACTGAAAATATTTTTAGTAATGCTTCAGCTATGTGGATACTGGTTGATGCTGTGAGTGGTGTTGCTTGCGCGTATTTCGTGAAATTGTCCATTAATGTAAGGAATGTTATTCCTCCGCTACTGTATAGGTCCATAAACATATGTTCCATAGGTCTGTGTGGTGTATCTGTTAATGACAGAGGTATTTTTAGTGGGTTTCTTTCATACTTGCTTTTTAGGCATGTATCACATTTATTAATAAATTTTTGGATGGTTAATAGCATGTTAGGCCAATGATAGTTTCTATGTAAGTGTTTGTATGTTTATTGGATACCTCTGTGTATAGTTTTACCCTCATGATACTTTCTTATTAGGTCGGTTTGTTCGGAGATGTTTTCTATGAGTGTGACTCTAGTGTTACATTTTATTAATTTTGGGCCGCGATTGGACGGACCAGATTCGTGCAGCCCTGGATACCACAGTGCACGATGCTCTGCACTCAGCTGCAGATAGGAACAGATGGCGGTGCACTATAAAAAACAATCTGTTTCAAGGCCATAACCACGACCCTCAGTAATGAGGAAACCGACGCAAGGAGGAGGAGGAGGGCCGCGATTACTAAATGTGGTTTTGAAAACCTCGCAAAATAATGGGTAAAATTCTTCGTGATGGAAGTAACAATGGAATGTTCTGTCTGGTATTGTGTGTTCCTTTAAAAATTGGATGATTTGTTGTTTTGTGTCATTGATTGGTATCCATACATCTTTAATCATTGTTTTGCCTTTTGATCTGTCTTCGAACCTGTATTGGTTTCCGGGTGTTTTTCTGATGTGAAATTGTTTCAATTGTCTATCTATTGCATCATCTATTTCAGGCATACGGTCAATTGTGCTTTCGTTTTGTGTTGGTGGTTGTGTTGTGGTTTCTGGTGTAATAGGTGGTCCTAGTATTGCTTGTAGGTCAGTGTTGCTTAGTGGTGTGTTAGGTAACGTAATGTTACTTAATTCTAGTGCCGTGTAGTCGTCTGAAGTACTTGGTTGAGGAATTACTTCATTATTGTGCAGAATTTGGACTCTGGAAAGTGCGTTCGCATTCGTATTTGCTTTACCTTTTTTGTATTGGACGTCGTAGTTGTATTCCGCTAGTCTTAAGCGCCATCTAGTGAGTTTTGAATTGGGGTCTTTTATGGACATAATCCATGTTAAGGGTCTATGGTATGTATATATTGTGAAACGTTTTCCGTAAAGGTAAGGGCGAAAATATTTTGTTGCCCATACTATGCTTAGTAGTTCTTTTTCTATTGTTGAGTAACGTTGTTCTGTGTCCGATAGCGTACGTGAAGCGTATGCTACTGATTTATCTGACCCAAGGTTGCCTTGTGACAGTACTGCGCCTATGGCTACGTCTGAAGCGTCTGTAGTTAAGATAAATGGTTTGTCGAAGTCTGGGTATTGTAAAATAGGTGCATTTATTAGTACCTCTTTGCATTTTTCAAATGCTTGTGTATAATCCGTGGTAATTTTTATCTTGTTACCTTTCTTTAGGCATTGCGTTAACGGTTTTGTCAATTTGGCAAAGTCTTGTATGAATTTTCTATAGTAACCGACTAGTCCTAGGAATGATTTTATTTCTTTTTGAGTTTTGGGGAAAGGAAATTTTTTTACTGCAGAGATTTGGTCTTCGTTAGGCTTAAGGCCTTTATCAGTAAGAGTGTGACCCAGAAACTTAACTTCTTTTTGTAAGAATTCTGACTTATTTAACTGGATCTTTAAATTATGTGTGCGGAATCTGTCGAAAACTTGTTTACATTTGTCTAAGTGTTCCTGTAGTGACACTGAATATATGATTATATCATCTAGGTAAGTGAGTACATTATCTATACCACGTAATTATTATTAAAACGTATTAGTCTTTGGAATGTACTTGGTGCATTCTTCAAACCAAATGGCATTCTGAGGGATTCATAATGTCCACGTTCTATTGAGAATGCCGTTTTTTCGACATCGTTGGGATGCATTTCTACCTGGTGGTAACCTGATACTAAATCTAATGTTGTGAAATATTGGGCACGTCCTAATTTATCAAGTATGTCATCTATGTTGGGTAATGGGTATTTGTCTTCTATAGTTTTGTCATTTAATTTTCTATAGTCTATGACCAATCTATATTTTTGTTCTCCTGTACTATCAATTTTCTTTGGGACTATGTGTACCGGACATGACCAAGGGGAGTTACTTTCTCGGATTATTTTTTGTTCCAAAAGTTGGTTAATTTGTTTTTTAATTTCTGCCTTTTGTTTAGGTGCTTGTCTGTAATTGCGTGTATACATAGGTTTGTTATCTGATAATCTAAGTTGGTGTTTAATTTCATGAGTAAAAGTGAGTGGTAATTCTTCACAATGGAAAACGTCTCTGTAATTGTAACATAGTTTTTTGATTTCACGAACTTCCTCAGGGTTCATGTGCTCTGTTCTTAATCTGTCTAAATTTTTTCTAAGTTTTTTGTCAATTTTGTTGGATGTTTGTATACTGTTACAGGTATGGATTGTTTTTTTTTGTTTTCGTATCTAATTTCTGTAATTGGAGGTCATAGCGTCTTTTTATTATAATTTCTTTATCAGTATTGTTTATTACGGTTGTTAATGCGCTTCCGTTCTTTACTGAGACTATTGCCGCTGGGAAAATTAGGCCACTTTTTGTTTTGTGTTCATTAGTAAAGTAATCGCCTTCCTTATAGTTACAGAGTAAGTTTATGGTTTGTTCTGTTTTAGCTGCGATGCGTTTGTAAGATTTGTTGTTATCTCTAATAGGTATGTTTGCCTTGTCTATACGTAGAATCATGTTTTTGATGTCTATTTTACAATTTAAGGGGACTAGTAGATCTAACCCTAGTCCAGTAAATTCTGGATCAAAATTGAAAACGAGAAATTTATGTGTGATGTCTTCTTTAAATAATTCTTTAGGGAGTTTTATAAATGCTACTTGTTTGTGTTTTGATGTACCATGAGCTGTTTTAATGTAGTTTGTTTCATTTTTTATTCTGCAATTAATGGATTTCTTTTCTTTTAAAATTTTTGGTTGTATTAGCGATTGTGAGGCGCCTGTATCTATCAGGAATCTACCACCCAGTTCGCTAGTATAAATGTAAGGGAGACGACTGTAATTGTGAGTATTACACGACCCAACAAATAAAATTTCGTTCTTTGTCCTAAAGTTTATACTATTATTTTCCAGTTAGTTATGCACAAAAACGAAAAGAAAATACCTTTTTTCGGTATAAAGTTTGCTTTTGTGATAGTTATAATAATAATACTCATTTTTCAATTTTTTCATAAATTTTAATTGATTTTAATATTTTTAAAAAGACTGCGCGGTGAGAATGGGGTATTAACGTTTACACTGTGCCGCTAGATGGCACCCGAGTGATAAACAACCATCAGGTGTTATTTACAAGCCCAGAATAACTTAAAATGTCGTCACGAAAGTGCAAATACGATGCTGATGCATTTTGTTTTATATGTGGTCAATTTATTAAAGTTCGAGACGTGAAATATGAACTAAAGACATCTCACGTTCTCTGTGAAGCCTATGAAGCATATTTTGACTGTCCTGTACGGAATCAAGATAAGCCATGGGCTCAAATAATAAGGTCATGGCCTGTAAGAACAGAATTGTGTGTCGGAAAACAGAACGTCAAATTTGAGCCGATTGTTGAAGCGGAAAAAGTGTTAATGCCGCCTTTGCACATTAAGTTAGGGTTGATGAAACAATTTGTTAAAAAACTGGATGAAACTTCAGAAGCTTTTGGATACTTAAAAAAAAATTTTCCGAAGTTATCGGAAGCAAAGGTTAAAGCTGGGGTTTTTGTTGGTCCGCAAATAAGACAGATTTTCGCCGATGAAAAATTTCCAACGTTGCTGAATCGTACTCAAAAAGCAAGTTGGAACAGTTTTAAAGCAGTAGTTTCTGGATTTTTAGGAAATAATAAAGCTGAAAACTACGAAAAGTTGGTTGAGGATATGCTTACAAATTTTAAGGCCATGGGCTGCAGGATGTCATTAAAAGTACATATGCTGCATGCTCATTTGGATAAATTTAAAAACAATATGGGAGCCTATTCCGAAGAGCAAGGAGAACGTTTCCATCAGGACATCATGAATTTTGAACAACGCTATCAAGGCCAATACAATGAAAACATGATGGGCGACTATATTTGGGGTTTATTGAGAGAAAGTAGCTATGAACATAAAAGAAAAAGTAAAAGTGTGCACTTTTAAGTTATTTTCCACTTTTCTGTAAGCTAATTTGATAGTAAAACTTAATAAAAAAAATAAACATTTTTATTTCAATAGTTTTATTTTCAATCAAAAATTAAAATCCGAGATTTTTAAAAATTTCGTTCAATCAGTCTTCTAAGCACAAAAGCAAAGTTTTTCATGCCATATATTTTTTTTCCGTCTTATTACGACCTAAACTACCGAAATTTAATGCTTTGCAATCAAAGTTAAATTTCATGTTGACCCGTGTTATTCATGTAAACTATGTTTCCAACTGGCTTAACATATCCGTTAGAAAATTTTCATCACGAGTTTCCTCGGATGATTCTTCCTCGTCATCTGATTCGTCAGATGATTCTTCGTCCTTATCTGATTCTTCTTTTTGGAAATGGATTTTCTTTTTGTTTTGATTTTCGTTATCTGTTTGTTTTTTGGGGAAGGGCTGTTTTTTATTTGCAGGGTAAGGTTTTTGAGAGTAGTTATTATTAGGTAGAATTTTCTTTTGTGTTTTATTGTGCTGATTAAGCCTGGATTTAAATTTAATTTCCTCTCGTTTAGCTACTGTGATGGCTTGGTCTAAATTTTCAACGTGTTTTAACCTAATATGTATTGCAGTTATTGGGTTTAATTTGTCTAGGAAGGTTTCTAATGCCATTTGTTCGTAAAATATTCGCCTTGTTGGTTCCATTGTTATGAAGGCGTTTCTTAAAATTTTAATTTTGTCGCCGAACACATCTAGTGAGCCATTATCTCTAGTTGTGTTCATCAGCTCTTGTATTAGTTGGATTTCAGTGCGAAATTCACCAAATTTCTTTTGTAAAGTCCTTTTAATATCTTCCCAAGTCTTTGAGCCGGGGCTCTCGGAGAGGGCTCCAACAGCATTACCGGATAGGTTGTTTCTGATTAAACAAGCCATAATGTAATCATTTTTGTTTGCTATAAGTTCTAATGCATTTTCCACACCTTCGATATAAAATGCTAGGGCAATGCGTTTGTTGCCGTCATAGCTCGGCAAAAGCTTTGCTAAAGTGGAATACTCTACTTGTGTAGGTATAGAATCCATGATGGGTTTATCGTCATGTAGGTCCTTATCACTGGCCATTTTAAATACTAGTTGATATGGAGACTAACAATAACTCAAAACAAAATGTATTATCGATTAGATAATATTGGAATTTTGTCCCCCACACGAGAAATGCACTCTAATTGCTATACACGAGTGGAAAGGGATGAAAGGAAATGAAAAATCTTGGGAGTAATCAGAGTAAGAGAGAGAGAGAGAATACACTTTATTGCACACCAACACAATTTACATTAAAAAAAAAAAACAGTCAAAAAGCACATATGTACAATAGGCGGTCTTATCGCTGAAAGCGATCTCTTCCAGACAACCGTTTAATTTACAGAAATTCTGTAAAATATAAAAAATATAGCAGGTATGTTGCGGTGTACCATATACAATACATTATTATAGAAAATATATACATATAATAAACAGATATATACCGTTTACATAATATAATATATACCAATATACATACAATACATACTAATATACTTACACACACATAATAAATCAACAGTATGGAAATTATAAATGATAATGATGCAACAACGCGGGCGAAGGCGAATTGGTAACCACTTGAGCTTAGTGCGAAATTCAGATATATGATCATATTTCCGTAACCCAAATATGAATCTTATGCAGAAATTTTGTAGCCGCTCAAGTTTATCAAGTTGTGTTTCGATTAGATCCGGATAGCTGGAATCAGCGTAGTCAAGGATTGGAAGAAGTAAAGACTGTGCAAGCGCAGTTTTAGTGGCAGTTGGAAGAAAATTTCGTAACCGTCTCAACGATCCAGCTGATGCAAACACCTTCCGGCTAACCTCTTTTATTTGTGCTTACCCCACAAGCATGTTTCGATGATAGGTCTTGATGGTGAGTGAGTTCTGCCTCGCCGTCAGGAACCGCTCTTGCTGCTGCTCCACCGTAGGTTCTTGCTCACGTCCCGGAATCAGTACGATGATTGGAATCATTTTCTTGAACCGAAGATCGCGAGTTACCGACTGCGCCAGTTAGGTTGTGGGCGTTGGCAAGAGGGTTTTTAAAAAGCGATTTGGAGGCGTGTGTTCGGCTTGAAGAGCGAAACTCAACTGTTTTTCTTTATTGGATTACAACAAAGTCTTATGCTAAGTACAAAGGGTTTCCTGATACTACTTAATGTTGACAATAAAGGATGTAATAACAGAATATAATGATGTCTAACTTAAGCTAATTACAAGGTTTTCCTGTTATTGAACACTGCGACAATAGGAGACGTGTTAATAGGATACT